ATTCGGTCTGTAATCGAACTCATGATTATAAAACAAATCGGATACCTGCATCAAACTTTGATTAAAAACCATCTCTGTGCTCTTAATGAACTTATTGTTTGGGTCTGAGCCCAGACACATCAAAACAGCAACATAATAATTTTATCTCCTTACTTGTTCGATTTTTTATTTGGCTTTGCAGAAGTAAGAAGAAAATTCCAATTCACTACTTACTTAAAACATTATAAGAAAGAAATTGAACCTTTATCTATTAACTATACCCCTCATCCCCTCACCCCTCCCCCCAACCCCACCCCTCCCCTCCCTCTTGCACCCATCCATAGTCACCAGCTATGGATTCAGCAAATATAATTATCTCATTAATCTGGAATCTTGATTTAACTCCCTTTCTTTGTATCCTCTTTTTCTGCTACCATGTGTGTGTATATACTCTCGTGTGAGTTTATGTGTATCAGATGTGTATCAGATAAAAAAAAGTAGTGATAGTGTTAGAGTCTTAGAGCGGTTTTCAATTGAATGTCGAACGGAATCGACGAATTGCTTTGGTTTTGCATTACTTCGCTCTATGATTGGTTTAAAAAATTCGCGCCATCTTCTGACCAATCAGATGCAAAACCAACACCAAACGCGACTTGATCACACGCGTTTTCCCGCGTTTGGCGCCGGTGGTTACGTGTATTTGCTTTCATTTGCTGTTTACGTCCGTTTTGATTGGTCATTGTAATTGCTTTGGTTTTTGTTTCACGACATTCAATTGAAAACCGCTCTAGAAATGACTAATGTACTGTAAGTATTGTATTGTAAGTAATTAGCGTAGCATAAGTACTCAAACTATTAAAGTAGCGTTTATTTAAAGTAGTGTTAGTGTATTGGTGTTATAGGTTAACAGTATTTTGTAAGTAAGTAATGTGTTGTTTAATGACCTCTTTAATTAATAAAATTAAAAGAAAAGAAAAAACCCGGAAAGTCTAGGTATACGTCTTCATTTATTTTGCAGATCCATATATGGTGTATAGCTAAGAGACAATAGAAATTGGTTTAATACAGTCTAACCACCCGCCAACCCGATTAAGCGGCCAGCTATCAAAGTCCCAGATTAAGCGGCCAGCTATCAAAGTCCCAGATTAAGCGGCCAGCTATCAAAGTCCCAGATTAAGCGGCCAGCTATCAAAGTCCCAGATTAGGCGGCCAGCTATCAAAGTCCCAGATTAAGCGGCTAGCTATCAAAGTCCCAGATTAAGCGGCCAGCTATCAAAGTCCCAGATTAAGCGGCCAGCTATCAAAGTCCCAATATCAGTATAATATTGTAAATAAAACCCCTATTAAGCGGCCAACCCCTATTAACCATTTCCCCGAGGGTGGCCGCTTAATAGGGGTTCGACTGTAGTTATTTCTAATGGCCCATCCATTACCAACCTTGGCATGCATGAATAAAAAGACAAGTCCGCTTTGGGTCGTAACCAGTATGGATACTCCAAAATGAAACGCCTAAGAGGCCCTGGCCCTAGCCCGGGGTGTCTAATCGAACAAAATCGAACAAAAAACCAATCGAACGCATTCGAACACCAATCGTTCGATTGCGTTCGGCAATCGAACATAATCAAACATCTAATTTTGTGTGAGTTTGATTATCGAACAAATCGAACCAATCGAACAAAATCGAGCGCAATCGAACCGAATGCGGTTCGATTTTGTTCGGACTGCATCTCTTGACGATTGAGTTCGATTGCCAACCGTTCGATAATCGAACGTTCGATTGTGTTCGATTGACAAAATTTTTGGTGAGTTCGATTATGTTCGATTGCCGAACACAATCGAACGATTCGTGTTCGATTTTGTTCGATTGCCGAACGTTCGATTAGACACCCCGGACTTGCTTCACGCGGAATAGGCAAGGAAATAGGAAAACGTCTGCACGCAGGCTAAACTGGCCCTCACTGTCGGAGCTTATCCTGGTTTCCTTAGAATGCGGCGCTTAATCGGGGAAAGCGCTTTTCCGAGTAAATACGGTATTTTAAAATGTGTTTGATATCGAAGAGAGTAAAAATTGTACAGCGACACCACCACCCACACCCAGAAAAAGACAATTCCCAAAGCCTGTGGAATTTGCATTTCAAAGAAACCGATCGGGGACATGAACATCGCCTTTTCATTTCGGAGTTGTAAGAATTAATTTGAATTACAAATTAATTTTTACATTAATATTCATTGATTCGTCTTTTTCGAGCAGTTTGCACGTGGAAAGAGCCGACGATAAACTTGAACATCGTTTGAGTTACTCTGGGGCAAAGAAATACTGCCAAGGGCTCCTTATGTGTTTTGGAGATGAGAGAAGATTGGATACGAGAGTAGATCGAGGCGCGCGGGGAATTATGGGAAGGGTCGAAGGAAACTTTGTCCCTTCCCAGAACGCCCCACGCGCCGCATAATTAATCTCGCTCCAGATTTCCCCGGCTAAATTGTTTCTAATCAGATAAATAGCGACTGGGTACGAGTCTGCACATCGTCATGGTAGACGTACGAGGCCTGGAACAAGAGAGTATTGGCCGGTTATTCCTTACAAGAACGTTGCCTTGAATGACCTTGAATCGGACATCCAACGTCAAAGAAGTTTATTTCCGTTACGGCTGTTCTTGCTGCGTAGGAGGCTACCGTGTGCAGCCTGGGCATGAAAAATATACATTCTTACAAAAAAAGAGTATCTCATATTTAGGGAATCACGTGCTTTTGTTTCGAAGCTAACCTGTAACGCGGTATACGCAATGAAAGATATTAAACAACATAAACAATCGAAAAATACTAAAATTTCTGCCGGAGTATTCAGAATAAAAAATGTAAAAATTGTTTGGCACTGGCTTAGAAAGAACGTTAAAAACGAACGTTTTAAAAACACTGTAAAAGACTTTCAATGAAGATAGAAGCTCTTCGATCGAAACGTTTTTTTACGGTTCGTTTTTAACGGTTTTTTTTAAATCCATTAACATTTATTAAACATAAACAATATAATAATAGAAGCAATGATAATGGCATTAAAAAATTTCAAGAGTCCTCCAAAATAAATCCATTAAAAAACAAAATTCAAAGCATTCCACACACAATGCTGTCTGAGATGCTTGAAAATTAACCTGCGACACTCTTGGTTCATGATCGGTCGAGCAGTACTTCACTGGACGTGCTGAACCACTGTGAAGGTAATGACCTGCTTGAAATTTTACAGAATGGAGGCAAACTTAACAACGGAATTCCATCTTCAGTTGTCAGTTTAGCCAGCCATACAATCAGTAGCCTGCGTAGCAAGCGTTCCTGTACGAACGAAGAGCTTTTTCCGCGATCGAAGAGCTTTTTCTGCATTTTGGCCGCGCGAAAATCTTCGATCGCGGAAAAAGCTCTTCGTTCATACAGGAACGCTTGCTACGCAGGCTATACAATCAGGTTCATCATCAACACTAGAGCATATTAATTAGTATCATTTACTGCAAGCTCTCTTGGCTGGAGACTATTATGGGTATCGACCAAGTAAATATCTATCCTGATACTGAAAGAAACATTGTTAAGCAGAAAAGTCTTGAAATGAGAAAGAAGAGCGATCGATGATAATCCACTAGGAACCTCTGCTGCCTCTGTGGCCTTTGCCTTGGGTGTGATTTTTAAAAAGCGCCGGGCGAGGTACTATAGCTTGTTAAAACCCTCAATCGAATCGTCTTGCCTTTCAAAGATCAAAGATCAGCTGACACTATATGCAGAGAGCTTTGAGACCTCGGAAGAAGAATCAGTAAAGTGCGTTACAGTCAGGGTTGCACAAGCAGAAAAATCATGGAAGACCTAAGAATGAGGGAAGTAACCGGCTAGTTAACCAACAATGCGTTGTTTATGAATCTGTACGCAGGATACCCACAGATTGATTGATTATACCGGTATAAGATAGGTTTGATTCATACCTTGATCGATAGAATTTTCAAATATATTTTTCTAATTCTATTCAGTGATAAACAACAAGGGATTTAAGAACATTAGTTTGATTCTAGTGAGATCAGAGAAATTGCCAATCAAAGGAAGTTTAAAATAGCACTGGATGTTAGCGTTATTTATGTTTATGGGACAATGATTATTGATAGTGGAATTTGGTTTAGGTTCAGCGAGGTTTAGCTAAATAACGTTTAACGATTTTATTTATAATGTGATAAGCCGAAAAGAGTTGCGTTTAAGGTAGCCTGCGTGGCAGGCGTATAAAGGGGAGGGAGGGGAGTTCGGCGCGCGCGAAGGAAAGAGCGCGAACTCCCCCCCCCCCCCCCCCCCATACGCCTGCCACGCAGGCTACGTACGTTCAAGGGTTTCTGATAATTTATCAAGATCTTTATGAAGCCCGGAATTAGTGTTATTGATTTTGAAAATTCTATCGATCAAGGTATGAATCAAACCTTAAAAACCCTTATAAACGCAACTCTTTTCGGCTTATCACAGCAGCGATTCGGCTCGCTTCGCTCGCAGATTTTCTTTAGGAGCCTGATCTCAGGCTAAGGTGTTTTTAGAATGTTTATCAGTTAAAATGTGCTCTTTGATCCTTGTTGTAAGATAGCGCGAAGTCTATTGATAAGTACTATTTCAAAACGAGTGCGAGTGTTTCATCACGATTTCCAAACACGAGGGAACAGATGAAAGCACGAGGCCGTAGGCCGAGTGTTTTTATTGTTTTCGAGTGTTTGGAAATCGTGATGAAACACGAAGCACGAGTTTTTGAAATAGCTTCTCAAACAAATGCTTTAAAAAGAAGGCACTAATTAGTAGTAGTTGACCCGCATTGTTTTCCAGTTCTTAATTTACGGTTACCAAACGTAAGCTCTGAATAGTAGTAATGAAATATTGTTTTGCACTTCTAATTAACAGTTTCTAAATCCGTTGGGAAACATGATCATGAAGTCAAATGTAAATGAGTGAAAATTTGTTCTTTTGCATTTCGAGCATGATGATAATCTACTTTAATGCACTAAGTCATTCAAGTAGCTTGTAGCTCAATGGTAGAGCGTCCGCGGACTACCGTGCCGAAGGTCACAGGTTCGACTCCAGCTGGTAAAACATTGAATTCTTTTTTTCTTTGAAAAATGCTTACATGATAATTATTTAGTTTAAGTCTAAGTCATATAAATGCCGCAAGAATCTTGATATTCAATAAAATTGGATATGAACATCACTAGTGATGTTCATATGAAGATCACTAGAGATCTTCATCTGTCATTTAATTGGATATCCAGAATCATGCACGTGACAAACGTTCCCGCCACATGGTCTTCACCGGGTATCAAACCTCATACACGTGACGAAATGCGTGGCTTCTCATAGGTTAATTATCTCATGAATTATTAATGAGTTTGAGAAGAATAAAGGAAAATACTGATACTCAAGTCATTCAATGGAATGACACTCGTGGTCTTTTTGGCTTCCGTCGCCTTAGAAAAGACATTCTTTGTTTTCATCTGACGTCATCAAAATTCTAAAATCTACAAAGCTATTCTTGGTTTGCATCTGACGTCATCAAAATTCTAAAATCTAAACTGTTAATTTTACAAAGCTATTCTTTTCACATATTCTACACATACAAAACATTAATCTCTATGCAAAGTTTGGTATCGATCCAGTGATTCCTTTTAAAGCTATTTGAAATTTGTGATGTCCCGGATGAACGTGTTTCTGAACTGTCACAAAAAAAACGGATATTTTTATATCATTTTTAAATTTTCAGACGTGCTAATAATTTAGAAGTGATGTCTATAAACAGATTTGAAGTGAAAACAAATGATATTGACGGTAGAATCTACTCTACTTCTTGTGCAATTTTATGGAGGCCATATTTGTGTCCCTCTGAAGGACACAAACGTGCCGGCGGCATACTAAATACTGTAATTTTCTGAAAATTAGTTTGGCAATAACTCGGTTACGAAAGACGCTACAAAGCTATAATTTGGACAAAACGTTTCTTTTTGCCAGTTTTTTTACCTGTTAATTTTCTGATGTTGTTCATGCAAGCAAACAGTTTTTGTAATGTTGATGAAAACCACCAATAGTCAAAATAACATATTTTTTCCAATTCTACCTTTTAAAGCCTTAACAGACCTTTCTATTGATATACAGCTTGTTTAATTGCACGAATGTTTTCCATGAAGTACACCCGCGAAGGTACTGAGTGGTTTTAACAGTCTTGTTGAGTGTATAGAGACTATATAGAAGTTGTTACATTTCCCTTAATTTATATCTACAATACAATACAATACAATACAATATTTTATTTAACCACGTATCACACAGGAGCTAAAGAAGCTCGTTAAAACGTAAAGGTGAAATTATAAATAAGTAAAATGGTAAAAATTATTACATACATTAAATATAAAATATTAAAAACCTATTCTTCTATCTGACTCAAGTAAAATTCCATTGACAGCAAAGATGTCGAGAATAGCGATGCTGAATCACTTCCTTATGCCACGGGCCATTTCGCTTGTTCCGAGAAGACTTCACCAGTCCCAGTTAGTGAAAGAAGTTGAGCTTAACATCCTCTTTTTCGCAAACAAGCACAACAGCCTCAGCCAGAGAATGGCTCTGGAATTGAAGAAGAGACAACACAATATCACCGTGCATGAAATCAACGAGCCAGCACAGATGACAAAATTGGCTTCAGATGCCAAACCTGATCTCATCCTTTGTCCATTTCTTACCAAACGAATCCCACAGGAGATATTTTCTAATCCCAACATCCCTTGCTGGATCGTTCATCCAGGAATCGAGGGCGATCGTGGTATGACTTCCATTGATTGGGCCCTGTATAATAAGGAAGACGAATGGGGAGTTACCGTGCTTCAAGCGGCTTTGGGAATGGACGCGGGAGACATATGGAGCACCAAGAACTTTCCTGTCAAGCGACCAGACATCAACACATTGACCAAATCGAGCTTGTATGTGAACGAAGTGACACAAACAGCCGTGAAAGCCGTGTTAGAGGCCATAGAGAATATCTTAGAAGGAAGAGCGGCAAGGCCTCTTGACTACAACAATCCACATGTGAGGGGAACATGCCGACCAAACATGACCAAGGCTGACCGCACTATCAACTGGGAAATGCCAGCAGACGAGGTAGCCTGTCAAATTCGCATGTCTGACTCATCACCAGGAGTCATCGGTTACTTCCGAACTAACAAGGGAGCCAAAGACTGGGAATGGACCAAGGCGTTTCGTGTCTTTGGAGCACACCTGGAGAAAGGAAGTTTCAGCGAACTTCTACCGGCAAGACCTGGTGAAATACTGGGGCAACGTCACGGATCTGTCCTTGTCAAGTGCGGCACAGGGGCCATTTGGGTGTCGCACCTCAAGACAGACAAGCTCAAACTCCCCGCCACCATGTGGATAAAAACCGATGCACCAACCTTAGCAGATCCCACTCTATCAATCCCGTATGGTTCCCATCCCAACACAGCTCAAGACATCTGGACAAGCATGACTCCAGACGGCGTCTGCTTTGTACACTTCGACTTTTACAACGGAGCCATGAGTACCAGTCAATGTCAGCGTCTGGTTTCCGTTCTGCAGAAAGTGGAAGAAGATGACTTTTGTAAGGTTATAGTTCTCATGGGCGGCCATGACATGTTCAGTAATGGAATTCACCTGAATGTCATCGAAGCAGCAGAAGACCCAGCACAAGAATCATGGAAGAACATTAATGCCATCAACGATGTCGTGCGTTGCATCTTCACCAGCAAAAAGATCACGCTCTCAGCCTTACGTGGAAATGCTGGCGCTGGTGGAGCCATGATGGCCCTGGCAAGTGACGTGGCATTCGCACGCGAAGGAGTGGTGTTGAATCCTCACTACAAGCAGATGAAGCTTTATGGTTCAGAGTACCACACCTACTTCCTTCCAAAGCGCGTGGGACAAGAAAAGGCGATTGAGCTATTGTCCAATGCTGAACCCATCTTGGCATCTGAAGCCGCTGAAATTGGTTTTCTGGATGGTTGCGTTGGAGACAATGCTGAGGAGTTTGAACGCTGGATTAATGAGCAGGCATCTTACCTTGCCCGTCCATCTTCGCAGAAGCACTATGTTCAAGAAAAGAACAGAAAAGCAAGCAAAGAAGTATTGGAGAAGATAGAAGGATGCCGCTCAAGTGAACTGGAAATAATGGCCAGGAACTTTCAGGATCCAGAGTACCACCAGGCCAGAGTGAACTTTGTGTATCATTAAACTGATACCTTGTGAGTTGATGTTTATCATTCCTGTGCCATATTTAATAGTTCAGTGCCAGATTGTGTAGTCCTGAGAATCAGGAAGCGTTTTAGCTTCGTTGTCCATAGGGGTCTCACTCGACCTTTTCATAAGGTCATAACTTATTATAACTAAAGCTATATTATAACAAGGCTCGTTTTTTAGTGCTTCCGAGTTGATATACAAGCCGAATGGTTCATTAATTTCGATTGTTTCATAAGTTTATTAGTCATGTTCAGACAGAGAAGTTTGCGTTACCCGAGTAAATTAAGAGTACCCGAAGTGTCTGAAATCATTGTAAATTTTAAGCTAGTAATTAGTTTATAATAAAGACTTTTTAAAAACGAGTGAAGGCTACAGCGACCCTGCTCTTTTAAATAGTTATCCTTGAACGGGTATCACCCTGACGACTATTACAAACAGCCTTAGGTGGTTTAGAATCCCAAGAGATGGAGAAGGGGCAGTGTAGACCCAGTGTAGGCGTATTTTGGGCGAACAGTGCTGAATTAAGCCGCCATCTTGGATTAGGAAAACAGGGCTTGTTATATTCAACGAAGCGAAACGAAACGAAACGAATATGTTTGGTGGTTATATTTGATTTTAGGAATATATTCAGACTGGTCATGTTCGTTTCGTTGATTATCACTTTTCATTTCGTCGAATATCACTTTTTGTTTTCAAGTGTTTAGCAATCAACAAGCGGGTTGAATTGTGTGCTTTCGACTAAGCTTCCCGCCGTGTTTACGAGTTACCGAACACCGTCTGGCCCAGTCCAAGTCCACATTAAGCTACAGCATGTTCGTTTCGTTGTTTATCACTTTTGGTAAACAACCCGCTTGTTGATAGCTAAACACTTGAAAACAAAAAGTGATATTCGACGAAATGAAAAGTGATAATCAACGACTGATGACCAGTCTGAATATATTCTTAAAATCAAATATAACCACCAAACATATTCATTTCGTTTGGAGGGGTTGGGCCGAGTGAGTAGGAGAAATGCTACGTTTTGCGAATCCAAGATGGCGGCTTTTAAACACTCCATCACTCACCCACCAACAAAAACGCCAGCACTGGAGGCTACTAAGTCTCGTGATGTCGAAATTCGAAACCCCGCCTAAAAAATAAATGGGATCATTTTCATTCTCGTTTTCACAAAATCACCGGCTCCAAAAACTGCGGAGAGACTCGACACTAAAACTGGGGATCCGATATTATCGTGAGCTATGATTGGTTGATCGTTGTCTTTGGAAACAAAATTCACAGATTTAGCCATTTTTCTTTCCTAAGATTTAGCGACTATTTAATTTGGCGATTTTGGTCTTCTAGTCGAGTTTTAAATAATTATCGATTTTTTATGACATCGCTAAATTCGCTCAATCTAAGGCCCGATCAAACGGTCACAACATGTTGTGACCATGCCCGGTCAAACGACCACAACAACCTCACAACATTCCAAGAACAAAAGAAATGTTGTGACGATGTTGAGACAAAGTTTAAATGAATTCAAACTCGTCACAACACCTCACAACATTGTTGTGATGGGTGGTCAAACGGTCTCAACATCGGCTCACAACAAATGTTGTGACCGTTTGATCGCGCCCTTAGTAGCCGCTAAAAATAGTAACGTTCAGGTAAGTAACATTTAAATAACTGCGTGAAAATCTGTAAATTAAAATATTTCGAGCTCTGTATTGATCGAAGGTGGAAAAATCGCGGAATAGATCTCTACACTGATTTAAATAGCCAACTTGTCAGCTTCCCATCATTGTTGTTTGACTACCGTCAGGGGGGGCTGGCAGCGAGGCCTGGGACCTAGTATATATGATTG